TATTATACCTCTTCAGAGCATATTTGAAGTAGGTACTGGCCCAACCTGATAACTCCCTTCCCTTCATTTTGCATAATGCAGCAGCTTTGGTATCAGAGTGCCACCACAATCTCCAGTATGCTGCCTAGCTTTGCTGAGTGTGCAGCAGCAGCTATGATAATACCCATTGTAAAAAGGAAATGCAGAAATAGTGACTGTCAAATCCTAATATGTTCCTCAGATTTTTTTTTAATTTTCCAAGCAGTATAATCTATAGTCTTGTTAACAATTTAGTACTAATCAGCTGCTTATCTTCTGAAAAGGAGTCTGTTTTGAATCACAAGGCTACTGACCTTGACAGAAGGTTTAATATATGCAGATTTCTCATATCACTTCTGAGATTCTACATAAGAGTATTTTGTTTATACTGAGATGTCAACTGTGCATTTTCTTTACTTTTTCGGCCCTTAAAGTAATTGATTTAAATATGATAAAGTTTCTTCTCTTTAGTTTTGAATTTTACATTTATATGTATAAGTATTTTTAAATAATAATCTAAGTTTGAATGAGCAAATAGACAAAGATGGATAGTTGAAGTAAATCATAAGAGCAGTAACAGTTCTAATCTAGTTCAGCTAGCTTCTAAGATGCCATGTGTCTATGTTCATTTTATTTAGATTTTACTCTAAAGTGATTATTTTAGTTAGTAGTGTAAGTTGTTTGCATTGATTAGACAAATAATGGAAATGAAATAATAAACATGATTTCCTTAGCTTTAGTTATAAATAAAAAATGAATTGAGCAAATGAGGTATAGGATACATAGTTAGTTAAAAGGAATTATAAGATTATATCAACAAAATCAGTGGAAATTAAGTTTAAACTTAAGAAAACTTCAGCAATTTCAGGAGAGGTTATGTTTAAAAAATTAATGACATTATAAATCTTGAAATTACTTTGATTTAAATGTCCTGGTAAGATTACATGGTTCTACTAGCCAGTATATGTCACCAGATAGATTAAAGGAAAGTAAAATCTAAATGTGAAAATGTGTGCTTGTTTATCTAAAATTGACAGACAAGCTGGGCTTTAAAAAACATCTGGGCCCTCCCTGGTGGTACAACTGGTTAGATGCAGCACTGCAAGCTATCCACAGCCGCTTCCGGGCAAGTCTGATCACTGGCTCCGGAGGTGATCCACATGGCCCAGCAGAACACCTCTGTCTCACCAATGTTCCTCTAAGCAGTGGGATCTGCCTGTTTGGTCCCCCACTTTGTCTCTGGAGAATTCTCTCACCGCCCCACACCTCTGGCCTGAAATCCCAGTTCTGTATGCATAAATATTTTTTAAGCAACATCTGAAGCTCTTTAAGAACCCCATCATTCTCTGAGAATCCTCCTATTATTGCAACTGATTTCAAACTTCGTTTTCATGTGATACCTAGCAATGGCCCTTGAAGACTAAATGCCTTTTCTTGTGTGAAATTTTAAATGTTTGCTTTCCCTCATCAAAACTAGAAAAGTAGAGATAACTTCTATTTCAAAAGGGGGAAGATGGTTTGATTAAAGTTGTAGAAACAAGTAAAGCAATATCTTTCTTAAGTGAGTTTTCTTTTTCTGAGAAATGAAAGCTGGATTTGCTTTTAATTAATAAACCATATCATGGTATTATTAAGAATTTTACTCTTAATGGTTTCTGGTTTGCATTGAAAAATACAGTGAGTTGGTTTGGATTTTATTCTAGTGATTGTGTAGTTTTTATACTAAAAAATAGTGGAATTGGGAAAAAACCTGCTTTGGGAATAGTATATTTTCAGCAAAAAAAAATAATAATGTCAAAGGAGTATGTTTGCAGAAAAAAAACATGTTAACTATAACTTTAAAGCTTTTTCTGTATTACTAACATTCCACATTATTTTATGAAAATAAACTTGATTTTTATTACCCTGTTTTTTATTTTGAATCACGCTATGAAGGAATGATTAAATCAAATATAAAGTATAAAGCAATTTAACAAGCTTAATAGTCTTTCAGATACGATAGAGATGTTTCTGCTATTATCTTGAATAGTGAATTGAGTTGTCTTAACATTGTGTTGCATCCATCTCTTCTTAAGTTACTCCGAAGAATCCTAAATAACTTATTCACATCCCAGTTTAAAAAACTATTTCTCTGAGAGAAACATTTTTTTTGGAAAATATTAATTGTGCTATTCAAAATTGATCTTTTGTATACAAATAAGGATGTCTTTCTTTCTGTGGTATTTGACTTGGCTAGGAGTAAGAGGTTACATTTTAGCCTAAAAAATGTGAGATCACAATAGAAAAATGTGTTATGTTTTGGTTGTAGATCAGATATATATATATTTACTAGAAATGTGTGCAGCTATTACAAATCACTTAGTCTTAGGAATTAATGTGAAAATCTGATATTTGTCCCAGTTAAGCCTTTAGAAATAAAAATACTCTTAGATTTATGCCAAATATAGTTTTTAGTATCATAAGTCCCATTTATTTAAGATGGTATGTGTTCTTATTGCTTAGGCATAAAATTAATATAGCTTTTCTTGTGACTCCTAATGCTTGCAGTTTTAATCTAATATAGCATTAGTGAACTTGTCATAAAAAGACCTTGATACAGCAATCATGAAAATATTCTTGGGTATGATACATCTGACCCTTTCCTGAAGACTAAATTTTTGGCTAAGTTTGAAGGTGACGATATATAAACTATCACCATAACTGTTTTATGTACCTAAGATTCTACAACCTTCAAGATGATTAAGTTATGTATTTTTTTGGTCGTGTTCAATTATACTGTGGATTTTTTCCAAACATAAAATGTACTAAATTATGAATATTCCACATTACTAATGAATGGAGAACACATAAGTGCTGGTGCACAAAAATATTAGTGTGATACTTTAAACATAACTAGCTTGACATTCAAAAGTAATCATGACTAAAATAGTTTCTCTGTGGGCTTTTTCTTTCACTCCTCTTTCTAATCCTCCTGAGATTCTCTCATATTCCATTTAAAACAAATAAACGTTCTAAATTTAGTTTAATTGACTTTTGAAGTACAGAAGAGACATTGGTCATAAGGGGCAATATAATTTATAAATGCAAGTTTTCAAGTTCAGATCTATACAAGAGAGACTCTAGTATCCCAAGCAGTAGATTCTTCATGAAACTAAAGATTTTAGTCATATAGCAAAATATAGATGATTTTACATAGATGAACAAATAAGCTACTAAGGATGAATATGTAACTTTTCTGTTTTTCTAGTTTAACTATTTATTTTCTTAAGCAATTCAGAAAATTACCCATCAAGAATTTAAGGAGACATCCACTGAAAGCAGAATGAGGAAACTATGACTGCCTTCCTCTCTTGAACTACCCTCCACATTTCTGTTAGTGCTTTGCAGCCCTATAAACAAATGTTTCTCTACCTTTCATTTGTTTCTCCTTGTGTTGGGACATTCCCATCAGTGACATCCCTTTAGCATTGGATAATAAATGAGAAGTACTGTGGGCTATGAACAATTCATTCCTTTTGTTCACACAAGAAGCTTGTCTGTGTTATGAGAGTTGAGAGCCACTTCATGTAAATTAAAGCCACAGGATTTGTTTGCCATCCATTTTTTTTGGAAATTGAATAGCTACAGTTAGCCTTCACTAAAAAAAAAAAAACAGTCCTGGGAGGAGTTCAAACCTTGAAGTACCAAACCATTAATATTATCTTTACAATTAAGAGTGCTACAGTATGTAAAAGCAAATGTACATTTCCAATAATCACTGCTTTATTTAGTGAATCTGACACTATTTTCTTCATAAATGTTCATATAGTTTCAAGTTTAAGAGACTAGCTTCTCCAGATGAAATATACAAAAAATTCTAAGGTACAACAATCATCAAATTGATGACATTAAGAAATTGACTAAGAAATATGACTTTGAAGTAATCTTTAATAAGTAAAAACATGAAATTCTGAATTTATAATGTAAATGTGACTGTAATTCTTTCTTGGAAGATAAACCAGTAGACATATATTTAGAACTAAGATAAACTCATTGAATATTAGTTCTAAATATTCTCCAAA